GAGATGTATACGTTTCTGGGGCACCACGTAAAGCAGCACCTCCCAATGTTGGAGGAAGACCCCAGAATTAGGGCACCCTGACCCCATGGTGGAGCTGTCCTCCCTGGCCTCACATATGTATTTCTGTTGAGAATAAAGTGAGCTGTGATCCCTGGATGTTTCAGCCTGTGGCAGGGTGCTGTGCATCCGGAGCCGCGGGTGTGAGATCGGCGGTCAGAGTGGCTCTTGCATCTCCTGTTAGGGAGAGGGTGAGGAGTGCCCAGACAGCCAAGCAGACACGGAAGAACCCTCACGGCACTGTCCGTCGGCCACAGAGCTCGAGTAGCATCCAATATCTGCAGAAAGCATGCGGGGAACACCAGCCCAGGGGCATCTTCTGCCATTTCGCCACAAGGAAGCATGTGTGCTCACTGACCGAGTCTGGGCTGCGTGTGGTCTGTGATTTCAGGGAGACGGGGAAAAGTCCACACTGACTTCTGACAGATCACGGTAACATCCTCAAGTAAAAGGCACAGAATCGGGGCCCATGGAATGTTTTGTGGGTTCTCCAGACTTGTGGGGGAAACATAGCATTCATTTTTGCCAACTGAGAATTGAATCCGCATTCACTTTTTTTTAAGATTTTTTTTTTAAGATTTTTTTATTTATTTGACAGAGAGAGACACAGCGAGAGAGGGAACACAAGCAGGGGGAGTGGGAGAGGGAGAAGCAGGCTCCCCGCTGAGCAGGGAGCCCAATACGGGACTCGATCCCAGGACCCTGGGATCATGACCTGAGCCGGCAGACACTCAACCGACTGAGCCACCCAGGTGCCCCTCCATATTCACTTTTGACGTGGGGCAATCTTGCCTGCTATCGCTCATTCCTTCCTACGTGTCCAGGTTAGATGTAGATCAACATCATAAGGGAGTGCTGTGGCTTTTAGTGTGAAGATGCCCTTGGCCATCACTAAGCCCTGAGTGTGAGCAAGTGGGACACTTATTCCTGCCCAGTGGGGGCATTCCCCACGGGAAGTGGGGCTACGGAGACAAGCTTCAGGCCAAGGCTTCCCACGGTCACCCAGTGTCACATTTGCAAATGTGGATCCCCATCACTGCAGACCACCTCCTCTCTCCACTCCAGCGTGGTCAGTCCCATTTGCCCTGTCTGGTGTTGGAGTGGCTGGGGCGTGTTGGGACCTGCCTGCCCGGGGGTGTACACTTACTCTGGGCTTAGTGGGGTGTATTTATGGGTGCACACTGACTCCCCTGGGTAGCTAAGCTGCTGATAGCTGTCTGGTGTGGGAATGGTTTCCGTACTCCTGGTTCCCACTGAGTGGATTCGCCAGGCACTCCAATGTGAAGGTGGTGACCAGAGGGGATAGCGTGGTATGAACACATATGTGATCACAAACACGGCTATGACCATGTCACGTGACCAGGAATGCGCAGCATGGCTATGAACGTGTGGCATGGCCACAAATGTGATGGGGCAGTGTCCTGAGACCTTGGCACCAGAAGTACCAGGGCGGGGGCGCAGAATGTGTGCGCAGGTTTTGAAGCACATGGAACAGAAGCTACTCAGTAGAAAATCCTTTTTAAAAAAAAATTGGGGGGGGGCACCTGGGTGGCTCAGTCGTTAAGAGTCTGCCTTCGGCTCAAGTCATGATCCCAGAGTCCTGGGATCAAGCCCCGCATCGGGCTCCCTGCTCAGTGGGAAGCCTGCTTCTCCCTCTCCCGCTCTCCCTGCTTGTGTTCCCTCTCTCGCTCTATTAAATAAATAAAATCTTAAAAAAAAAGAGGCCTCCAAATTCTATGAGCTTCAGGCCCCACAAAACCTGAATCCATCCTCGATAATTGGTCTAGACTTTTTTTTTTTTGCTGTTAATTTTCATTGAACCCCTTCTAACCTTAAGTAATATGCATCCATGGATATAGGAACTAACTGAAAAAAAAAGTTCCAATACATTTCACTAAGAAATGCATGTCCAATAAAATTGACTTTTTAAGTTTAGCAATGTTCATTAAAATTCGAATTTATTTATAAATAGGTTGATAAGATTTGTAAACAAAAGCTTTAAGAAAAATTAGGTTTTTATTAAGATTGAATTTTTGTGTCTCCCCCCAGTTCCTATGTTGACACCCTAAACCCCAATGTGCTGGTGACTGGAGGTGGGGCCTTTGGGAGGAAGCTAGGGTTGGATGAGGTTCTGAGGGTGGGGCCCTCAAGAAGGTTAGGCTCCCATTAAGAGAGACTCTAGAGAGCTTGCTCACGCCCATTCCCTGCAGTGTGAGGACACAGGAAGAAGGTGGCCATCCACAAGCCATGAACAGGGACCTTACCCACTGCCTCAGCCAGTACCTTGATCTCTGATGTCCAGAACTGAGAGACAACACACTTCTGTTGCTGAAGCCCCCGGTCATGGTGTTTTGTTATGGCGGCCGAGCTACCTAACACAGAGCCCAAGCCTCATGATTCAGCCCCCCATCATTGCTGTGTGTCCCCTCTCACACCGTGGCCTGCAGCAGGATCCTCGTCTGGGTTTTTGCATAGTCCCATTCCAACACCTTTAAGACCACCCTGGGGGCTTCCTGGTCACCTGTCAACATCTGGGGTAGACACTTGTCCCACAGAGCTTTCCCTGATCCATACCCAGCTTCCTCTCTTCCCCAGACAGCACCTCTGCTATTGGTCTCCGCACATCACCTCGCATGACTTTCCATGTGCCTCCTTCCCGAGGCTGGGGCTTGGGAGAGGTCTTCACTGTCTTTGAACCCATGGCCCAGACCCAGGCCTAGCATACGGTGGGCATTTAGACCAGTGCTGGTTACAGGCCCAGGAGAGTGACATGCTCTGGAAGGAACCCCACGTTAGCAGTTAATTCTTATACCTTAGTCTGTGTTTCAGATCCTTTCTAGAATAACAGACGGGTGGAGGGAGAAGGGACGGTGGTCAGGGAGAGGAGGCGGTAGAAGCTGGGTGCTAAGCACCTGACACGTACCAGCGATCTGAGTGTCTAGCCCGCCCTTGTGTTGAGTTAGCCTCTGGAAGCCCCTTCAGTACTGTGGCCCCTCGGAAAACCCTGCTCTCTGCCATTGCGAAAGGCCTACAGCTGGGAATGGGTTTCACATTTTTGAAAGGATTTTAAGAACACAAGACCGCACAGCAGTGACTGCATGGGGCAAGCCCCCAAATATTCCCTCTCCTGCCTTCACAGAAAACCTGCTGGCTCTGCTTTCCAGGAAGACACGCCCCGTGTCAGGCCTGAGGGTGCAGTAAGCTCTGCGGTGTTGGTGAACTCATTTTACAAACGTCTGATGGCTTCCCACGTGCAAGGTATGGGGCCGCTGCAGGATGGCGCTGGGTGGCCAGTTGTGAGCTGAGGAGCACCTCCTTGGGTTTTGGATGCTAGCTGAGAGACAGGCAGAACACCAACCATTCACACATGAAGCAGCACATGCTTGGAAGCAGAATCAGAAAAGCCACACAATCCTCTGCTGGGTTTATCAACCAGCTGCCAGGCAACATTAGGACAAGAATACGTGATAAGCGAGGGCTGGACTTCTGCTGTAGGTACTATCCTCTCAGTCCAAGGGTGTTTATTTTAATAGGTGGAAGAGAGCAAAAATCCAGAAAGATGCCACAGTTCAGGTGACAGGGAAAATCCAAAAGGAAATAAAATAATTACCTTATTTAACTCAAACCTATTAAACTGGTTTAAGAGCCTTGTGGAGGGGTGCCTAGGTGGCTCAGATGGTTGAGCAAAGGCTTTTTGGCTTCAGCTCAGGTCATGATCTCAGGGTCATGGGATCGAGCCCCCACCCCCCTGCTCAAGCTCATTAGGCTCCTCGCTCAGGGAGAGTCCGCTTGAGATTCTCTCTCCCTCTGCCCCTCCCCCCCGCTTGCTCTCTCTTTTTCTCAATAAAATCTTAAAAAATGAAAAATGAAAAAAAGAAAAAATTTAAAACCTTGTCTAAACTGAAGCAATACAAATGTTTGTGAATCACATGATTCATGGGATCGGTTTCTGGAAATCCATCTTAAGGAAGCAATACAGAACACGGCATGAGTTATGGTCACACAGACGTTTCTGGCAGGGCTAAGAGAGCAGGGTAACAGCCTGGGTCCAGAACCTGGGCTCCGTGGGCCACCGTCGCACTACCAGTGGACGCACCACAGCGGGTCCTACACACACATCCGTGGTCAGCGCCCCTCGTGTTGGCTCTCCAGGGTTTTTGGAGGTCGGAGAGGGAACCAGCTCCCGGAGAGACTGGAAAATGACCAGGGAAAAACTGCATGCAAATGAAGATACACTCCTACTCATTGTTCGGTCAAGAGTGCCGGCCCCCACGGCGGGAGCAGGCCAGGGAAAGGCACCGTGGCTCTGCACTCCACCTCGCTGCCGCACGCCCCACGCGCGTCCCTGTGGCCAGTTTGTGAAGCCGGCTGGGACACGAAAACACCCAGCAGGAGAGCAAGCTCTGTGCCGTAGGGCGCCGTCCACCCGCAGCCCCCACCAGCGGGCAGGCGTGGGAAATGTTAGTAACGGAGTGCGGGTAGGGTGGCAAGGTGGATTGCCGGTATTTCCCGTTTCCCTTCTATTGGGTAACATGGTGTTACTACTTTTACAATTAAAAAATGTGATGAGACTCTCACCGAGGTGCTGAGCCCGCAGACGCAGTAAGACGGAGGCAGATGATCACAACAGTAGTCTTCAATTTCGCTGTTCTTACCGGGACTAACATAAGCAATGCGGGATTACAGAAATGTGAGACGCGATTACAAATACACTATATTGTTTGCTGTAAACGGACTAGAGGTCAAGGACCAGGATTCAAACGAAGTGAGATAATGTAGTTTGGGCACATCAACAGGGGCCGCCGGAGAACAAAGCGGACCATGAAAATGACACGGATTCGAGGAGGGGGCGGGGCTTCCCCCTCCGGCGGAGCTGTGCTGCCCTAACCCGCCCATCTTCCACGTCCGCTCTTGCGGTCGGGGAGTAGCCTCACCTCCACCTCTAACTTTCTCCCAGATGGTTTATTTCGTCCCCACAGGGTGCGAGTGCAGACACACCGCCCGACGCACACCTGAGCCTGTTCACACCACTTACACCCCCAGGCATGTGAGTGACGTTACCATGAGCGTCGGAAGGTCACTCAGCCAACCCAGAATCCCTGTGTAGCCACAATAGCTCAGAGTCTGCGGTGGCCATCTGGGGGCAGAGCTGCTCTACTGGACCCTACGAAACTTTCACCTCCCTAATCCCACCGCTGAAAACTTCCCTGAGTTTACATCTCAAACTTAATTCAGGTGAACAGAAGGACTCTGTTCCTTCTCTAACAATAAAGTGCTATATTTAATGTTCTAATTCCTTTGCAGTACAGTAGTTAAAATTAGTAAAACTCCTAATTTTGCTTTATCAAGAACTAGGCCTACCAAATTAGAAGTTATCATTACATTTCTCAACACCTAGCTGGTGAAGCAGATTAACGTTAAACTGGCCAGGGACACAACACAGTGGGATCACAGTGATGGAAACTGCCTACAATTCTCCGAAGTTATGGATCATGGGAGAAAAATCCTTGTGTACAGATGTTTCTAAATGCATGCTGAATAAACAGATTAGTGTTGTTAATTCACTATTCACGGTAAAAGGGACACCGATTATACACGTCAGGCCTCATGACTGGAGCGGATTTTATTTCTGCTGCCCAGACACTGGAAGGTTTACTCTCTCAAGGGAGCGCTCAGTGGCGAGGTGACTCCCGTCCTGAAGAGGGCTGAGGCATCCTGAACTTGGACAGGTCCAGGTTGAGGTCTAAGAAGGTGTACGGGGTGTAGTCATGGTGCTGGAGGTTCCTGTACGTGGTGTTATCGAATGGCTCGGCAAGGCCAGCGGCTTGAGCAGGCTCTGTAGGGAAAAGCAAGGCCTGTGAGAACACGGGACAGAAAGTGCCTCCGCAGGGCACAGCTCACAGACACCTGCGCACCCAACATTCCTCACACACCCTGCCTGAAATAAACTAATTAGAAAAGCCTGTGAAAGCAAAAGGATCTTCAGAAGCCAAATCAAGGAAAATGTATTCTAAATCACACAGCCTTCACAATGGGGGCAATGGGATGGTTCTTATGATGTGTCCTAATACCTGACTTTGTATACTTTTAGGTCCTGTACTTGGCAGAATTTTGAAAATGCCTATAACAGTTATGAAGGGACTATCAGGTCACTTAAAGATGCAAGAAAAAAAACCCAGATCTATTAGAAATAAACCATTTACAGAAAGCAGGGGCTTTAAGTTAAGCCTGTTAAGTCTCTGGATACAAGAAAATTAGATAGACCCTGTTGTAATAACATAACAACCAACTTAAGGGGAAATGGAAATGAGGTGTATAGTTTTCAACTTTTTCTGAAAAAGTTGTTGGTATACTTTAGATTCAGATTAAAATATACAAAATAGATTTTATTTCTTTTCGTGGACAAAGAATGTTTGGTAATGGTAGAACTAAAAGTGTGTGGTTGAAGCAAAAGAAATGCAGCTCTCCTGCCCCAGGCCAGGCGGTAAGAGGCGCGAGGTGTGGCTTGTGGGGGTAGCGGGAGGAGGGCCGGGTAATGTGCCTGCTGATCCTAGACTTCTGCCACCGGGACTCTCCCAACTTCTACATGGGCTGCACAGAAAATAACCTGAATAGTTTCCCTATTTGAATTCATATCAAAAGCTTTGTTTTTATGTGTTCAGTTGTATTAAACAAAAACGATGTCTTACTCAGACCTGACATCTTCCCAATCTCAAGGAGCAGAGACTCCCAATGCGGGGTAGCGACATCTTCAAAGCAGATACAGGGATGGTGTTAACTGAAGGGAAATGTGGGTTCAAAAAACTTGTATGAAAATCAATCCCGCCAGAGGGCAAGGGGCCAGGCGGCGGGAGCAGGAAGACTCAGGGACACCCGCCAATGGGCTGTGCTCCAGGGCGGTGGTGGCCTTAGCCTCCGAAGGGCATAAGGGATGCGGGCAAAAGAACACGTTCGTGAAAAATTAGAAGCAAACTGTTTTCAAAATGGTTTGCAAGTGAAAACCCTGTCATCATCCTGAAGGTTTGGGCTTTCCTCTCCAGTTCATAGCAGAATGACTGAAGCAGTACAATCAGGAAATGCGGTTCTTGATGTTTTGACCAGTCTGGCAAGCATGGGCACTTTTGCATATTAATGAAAGAGGGAGAAAAACGGAGGGAAGAAAACACATAAATTCTGTCCACATAACCAGTAACCAGTAACAATGATCACGTAACATCAGGCAAGGGGGAGGCTTTAGGAAGACTACGGAGCAAACAGGAAGGGGCCGGGTTTGTTAGTCATGCATTTTACAGGCATTCTGCGGAGCCAGGCTCTGAACCCGGAGCCCGCCCTCCCTGCGTCGCCAGGACCCACCGACTGCAGACGCCCTCCATAACCGTGCACCGCCAGAGGGCAGCATAAAAGGAATAAAATACTAAACGTTTATGACAGCAAAATAGCCCTTCCTAAAAATTCAGTACGGAAAAACAAAGCAGCCCACTGTGTTTTCCGGGTGAATCAGAGAAGGAAACGTCAGCCAGTGGAAATAAGACGGAAGCGGCTCCGGGCTGCCCCTGGTCTCTCCCTGCTCTAATTCCTAACACGTGGATTGCCTCTCACTAAGGACTGTGAAGGCAAGGCTCCGAGCAGCAGCCCTTCAGACCCTCCCAGCAGGGCGAGCACGGCCCAAGGGAGTCACCCGGGACCCCTTCCGCGGAGAAGAGGCTCGGCAGGGTCACAAAACGGACCCGCGGACCGCCTCCAAAGTTAAGGGAGGTGCCGGGGGGCAGAAATGACCCAACGCTCCCGCTTCCCCTGCAGAGTAAGCGGAAAGTGCCCCAGGGGCTGTGCTAAGGTGTGCAGTATTCACAATCCCGACCGCCGGGACGGGCCGGCTTCTACCGCGGGGGCTGACTACCTGGAAGCTTCTGCACACCGCATGGGCCTTCAGCGGCCCGCCACCTGCACAGAAAAGGAGGTTCTCAAGGGAGCACAAGTCAAGCTGTACCCTGTGTGTCATCCGGCTCTTCCAGGCGAGGCGCCGACTCTACAGCCATCTCGTCTTTTCCCTCAAGCTCCAGCCCTGTGGTCTTCTCCTCGAAAACGCCTTCCTTTGGAACAGGACCTGGCTTCAGAGGTCGTCCTGGTACCTGGTCTTCCAAAATCTCTTTAGCCTTCAGGATTCCTCCTGTTACCAGCTTTCCGGAACTTTCCTTGTCAACGGGGGGAAATGCCACCTCTCCACCATGTTCCAATACCTGTTTTTCCAAATGCCTTTCTCTGGTCGCAGGAGGTGAGTGCAGCTGTCCTGCCGCTCTAATTTCTTTGGTTCCTTCAGACAGCTGCACGGGCGCCGGGCTGCCAGCCAGCTGTGTAGACGATACGGATTTTGTATGGTCAGGTAAGACTTGTTTAACTTTAAGTGGCATTTGACTTCCTTTATCTTTTTCACTTGATCTAAATATTTTCTCCATTTGTTTTTCCTTGACATTTTGCTTCATAAACTCTTTATCTGCTTGTAACTTGGGTGTTCTGGTTTTTGGTTTAGTGTCTTTTCTGTCCTCTAATGGCTTCACAGTGGGCCCTTTCTTCTTTGCCTGGCGGGGTCTCTCTGGAGGGCTGAGGTCTGGCTGTCCCTGCCGTGACTGGGTCTTCTCTTTGGCTGAGGTTGCAATTTTGGAGGCTCTGTTTTCAAGGGAACGGGAGGCCTGCGGTTTGGGAAGCCCTCCTTTGCCCTTGCTCATCATCTGAGGATCAACCTTGGAGGCGCCACCCTCCTCATCAGACTCTGAGTCGGAGGAGCTAGATGAACAGGATGATGAATCGTCTGTCCCTCCCCTGTTCTCCTGAAGAGCTTCTGAATCCGAACCCTGTTTTCTGAATGGAGGCAGAACTTTCTGAGGAAACTCTACCAAAGTCTTTCTTGACAAAAACTCTGGAACCCCTTCATCTGTGAATAGCATGCTATCATCGGGACTGGGGCGAGGGCTAGCTACCATCCCGCCCTGATTCACAACTGATGGGTAAGAACTGGGTGAAGACAAGTTTTTGGACAATTCAGCTGCTGTTGGGGTGGCTAGTAGCTTGCCCCTCTCCTTTGGTTCCACTACATCTAGGAAATGGCATAAAGAGGAATATTATTTTCAATATTTTGTAAAACAATCTAAATTCATCAGTAAGTCACAGACATTTCATTACTAACAGCTTGTTATTATATCTTCAATGTAATTATCCTAAGAAATGTTCCACGGGAATGCATTCTTAGGTCAAAGCCAAGCCACATGACAAGAGAACAGTAAGAAATGTATGTTTTTCTTTGCAGCTGAAAAGTTTAAAAACAGGGATTTTTACCAACAGAAGTAACAAACTTGTCTCCACTTTTCACAATGAGAGCTTCTTTTGATCATTTTTAAACTACTATTTCATCCAAATTTCAAACGGTTAAACTATAAGATATTTCCAAATGACTACTGCAGGTTTTAGAAATGTGTAATTTCTTGGGGTGCCTGGATGGCTCAGTTGGTTAAGCGACTATCTTTGGCTCAGGTCATGATCCCGGAGTCCTGGGATCAAGTCCCACATTGGGTAGCCTGTTTCTCCCTCTGACCCTCTTCCCCTCTCATGCAGTTTCTCACTCTCTTTCAAATAAATAAATAAAATCTTTAAAAAAAATGTGTAATTTCTTAAATCTTTAAAAAATTGATGCTTCTCAAATATTAAGAAAGTCATCCATACCGGATGAGCCTGAACTTTCTGAACAAAACAGCAGAGCAGAACAGGGACAAGAGCCTGGTTTGCATCATTTGGGTGTGTGCATGCATGTGTGTGAGCACTGGGGGGGTCATGGGGTGGGAAGAATTTCATTCAAATGAACGTGCCCCATGGGGAAGAGAAGTCCTTCAAAATCACAAGTCATTTGGGGACTTCTTTAGCCAGAGAAACTATTACATGACCAAAAAAGTCTAAAATAACTTGATGTGTATATCATTGGAAACAACAGGTTTTAAGCTGAAAAAAAAAAAAGAATAATTGCTAATATAAAACCCTTGCATTTTGTAGAGTCAATTATTAAAAAAATAAAACTGCATAGTACATTGATTAGAACCAACTTCATTCAATTTTCTCAGGTGGTAAATCTTTTCTAACCATACAGATTTGAGGAAAAATATAAGACAAGTGTTTCTAAGTTAAAATTACTTTCCAAATCTAAAGCAAATCTTAAAAATACATTACAGATGAGCAAACTCCAAATGCAGAGTCTATTTTCAAGTGTAGGAGTGTATTTGATACTGAAGAGATTTCAATCCTACTTCTCTCAAGTGGAAAAAATGTATTCCTAACTTCACTGTCTTACCAGTATCCACAACAGGTTCTCACTGTTTTCTGAGCTCAGGGACCTGCACGTGACAGAATGACAGGAAATGATCACAGAAAATGGAGGAGTAACCACAAATCAGAAATGGGCCACAGAGAGGAAAATGGGCAGTGTGAAAGGGCAGGACGGCACAGCCAGAGCAGAGTGACTGTTCACACCTACCACCTGCACCACCACCTCCACCATCACCTCCCCCTCCGCCATCATCTCCCCCAGCACCAGCAGCGCCAGCAGCACTACCTCCTCCATGCCACGTCTGAGGCTGTGGTCACCTACCAGCCCAGAATCTGCATTCTGAATGCCGAGCAGGTGTTGATGCAGCTCTCAGAACTCACACAGAACTCCAGGATCATATTAAACATAAAAATGAGGCAAAGGAGTGTACATGCACTTGAACTTTCTCTCTCTCCAAACTCTACCTGAATCAGCTCAGAAACTCCTAGTGGCCCCAACACCCCCCAGCCTGCTCACCTCTATCATTCATCCATGTTTAATGTGGAATCTAAATTTTCCAAGTATGAAAAATTAAGTTAAAATAAGGCGCATCTTAGACAGGCTGCTTTGAATAGAAAAGTTACAATGCCTGAATCTTCCCAAATATGTTGTGGAGATTTAAAAAACTGCAAATAAGTTATCAAAATCACATTATAGGTTGGTTTATCATCTACTGAAAATGGAAAGAAAATTTCAAATGGGATCAACAGTGATATCATTTAGAAATTCTGTTTGAAAAGGAAATTTCTATTATATGAAATAAGAATGTTTTAAGGTTTTTTATTCATGCTAAATTATTGGAAGAATTTCACAGAAAGGCTAGTAGACTAAAACCGAGTAATGCATTTTGCCTTTTTTTTAGATTTTATTTATTTATTTGACAGAGACACAGCGAGAGAGGGAACACAAGCAGGGGGAGTGGGAGAGGGAGAAGCAGGCTTCCCGCAGAGCAGGGAGCCCGATGCAGGGCTCGATCCCAGGACCCTGGGATCATAACCCGAGCCGAAGGCAAACGCTAAACGACTGAGCCACCCAGGTGCTCCGCATTTTATTTTTTTTAAAAAAATATTTTATTTATTTGAGAGAGCAAGAGAGCATGAGCTGGGGGGAGGGGCAGAGGGAAAGGGAGAAGCAGACTCCCGCTGAGCAAGGAGCCTGATGTGGGGACTTGATCCCAGGACCCCGAAATCATGACCTGAGCGGAAGGCAGATGCTTCACCGACTGAGCCACCCAGGTGCCCCTGCATTTTGCTTTTTAATGACAGCCAATTTCTGACCTTCTGCAGCCCAGACCCAGTGTCCTCTTTGTGACTCAGAAGGAAGTTGCCGCAATGATCTGGAGCTGCCACTAGTAACCGCTGTTCCAGAGTCTGCGCCCAACCATGCAGCGCAGAATGAGGTCACCCGAAAACAGCCCTCTCATGTAGAGGAACGAGGGCTCTCACTTTATGACCCTACTGGTTTGTTTACATGAAGTCTCTTCTATCTAGAGGCAGGGTGCCCATACACTCTGTTTTAGTTTGATGCTGACCTTCCTTGAAAATCGTATGAAAGCACAACGCTACTTAAATAAGTCTAGCCGCGGAGGCCTGTCTCACAGCACAAGCCGGGGACTTTTGTGGACTGTTTCTACTCTGTCAGAGATCATATAAATGACCATAACAGCCTACGCACAATAAAGGCCTACAAACTCTAGTAACAACACCGAGAGAAGTCCTACTGCTTCTCTATCTCCTCTCAAAACAGAACTTAACATTTCCCCAATCTCTTTTCTGCTCAGTTGAAAAGTGAGGGCATGACCTTCAAGTTTTTAGTGGTCTCCCTATCAAAGCTTTTTTTTTTTTTTTTAAGATTTTATTTTTAAGTATAACCTCTACACCGAATGTGAGGCTTGAACTTACAAGCCCGAGATGAAGAGTCGTGTGCTCCCTGACTGAGCCAGCCGAGCACCCCTAGTGGTCTCCTTATTAAAGCAAAAATGACTATTGGTGTTTGAAATGGATTAGCCACCTTAGAATTCTTCCGTATCTTCTCACTGGGTCACAAAACTAATCTTGGAAACAAAGCATATTCAAAAACAAACGCACATTTGACAACATGAAGGAATCAGTTACTCAAATTTTATATGCTAATTAAAACTTTTTTTTAGATGTACAGGGCTATAAAGTTTGTTGTTGTTTTTTTTAATGAATACATGAGAATCTAGATTTTTTTCAGAGGCAAGACAGCACAGTGATTAAAACCACAGACAGTGAGGCCTTACTACCTGGGTTCATGACCAGCTCCGCTGCAGACATATGTGTGACCCTGAGCAGCTCACGGCTCTCTTCCCTCTATTTTTTCATCTACGTTGCAGGGATACTACTAGCATCGACTCAGGGGGTTGTGAGGACCAGACAAGAGACTATATGGAGTGCTTGGAACAGTGGCTGGCACCGTTGGTTAGGATTAAATACAAAGAATCCCTATTTCCAGAGATTCCTCACTTTTCAAACTGAAATAAGGACTTGAAATGGATAATTAACTTTGGCTTCCTGACAGATTCTTTAAAAAGCGACACAGAAGTTATTTAGTCAATGATTTAATACTGATTGTGGCAGAACTCAGCCCAGTGCCTGGATTCAAAGGAACATCAAAGCCAGGGAACCAGGTGGTTCTGCGGGAGGGGGGACCTACCAGGAGACCCTGGACTCATATCTGCACTGGTGGGTCCCCTCAGGAAGGAAGCATGTGCCACAAGAAGCTGGAGCTCCAGACAGAATGAGGCAGAAGGCGTTCTGTAATACCCGGGTCCTGACTCTGAGGCAGACCCTTTGACTAGAGATGGGACCCCAAGGATGAGTGCTTAGGGACCGGTCTGCACGCAGGCAACTTCTGTTAGAGCTTGGACAGGGGTTTAAGCTGGCAATGTGCCACTAGCAGGCAAAAAGCATTTGTGCATCTGACACTCAACTGATCTTTTAAGTACTGACACTTCGGATAGACATGGAGACCTGCACACGTCAATTTAGAAGCATCTTCATACACGGATTAAAATTATTATTATTTTTTTATAATGATAGTTTTTGTCTTTTTTTTTTAAAGATTTTATTTATTTATTTGACACGGAGAGAGAGAGAGACAGTGAGAGAGGGAACACAAGCAGGGGGAGTGGGAGAGGGAGAAGCAGGCTTCCTGCCGAGCAGAGAGCCCGATGTGGGGCTCAATCTCAGGATCCTGGGATCATGACCTGACCTTAAGGCAGCCGCTTAACGACTGAGCCACGCAGGCGCCCCTAAAATTATTTTTAAATTATGGGATACAAATGTAATGTGCATTAGAGACAGTGTGGTTCTGGATCCTGTCTTCCCACCTGGAAGCACTCTATGATGGACACAGCATGCACGCGCATCTCTCGCTGGCCCCACTCTGGCAGGGAGGTGCTGCGTCCAGGGGCGGAAACGACACAGGTCCAAGCCCAACTCCCAGCTCAGTGCACCCTTCTCATAACTGCACCCAGAACTGTCCCATGACCCAGCACCCCGTTCCACTCACATATCCATTAGTTCAGTGTCATAAACCCGGGAGGTAGGAGTGCAGACACAAGACTAAAGTTCACCAAAGGCAGCGGTAACGTCAGTAATGAGAGGCAACTAATCATCAGTAAACACTGAAAGAATGTCAAAAACGTGCCAGGCATAATGCAGAATTGAACTGACATTCTGGCTGTAAACGTTTTTTTAGGAGTGATCATGGCCTTCTGGTTTCATTAAAAAAAAAAAAAGAAAAAGAAAAAGAAAGAAAGAACACTGGATTTAAAACTGGACTGAGTTAAACAGAGTTCGCCTGAGCTGAATTCAGGCCTTCAGGCAACGAGCCACCATCAGGAAGGGGTGTTTCCGCAATCGATGGGGCATGAAAGGCAGTCAGGGGCTAGCACACTCAACAGGGCCAATATTTTAAATGCTACCGATGGTTTTGTGTGCACTCCAAGGAGGGATAAAACAAAAAATATCTCAGCACTTTCAAATATTCAAACTGAGGAAATGGTAAATGATGAAAATAAGACAAACTCAAATTATCATTCTGAACCACACATAAAAGTCAAGGGTTTGCAGAGACTGTACATACACATCTTTCATTTTTTTATTTTTTTTAAGATTTTGAGTAATCTCTACACCCAATGTGGGGCTCAAACTCACAACCTGGAGATGGAGAGTCGCATGCTCCAGGGACTGAGCCAGCCAGATGCCCCTATAATCAGTTATTAGTAATGAACAGGGAGTAGAAAATAAAATTCCCAAAAGTATTTAAAATATACTGTCGCACTTTCTATTTTCCTTCCACAAGGATATGCTACATTGGTATTCAGGAGGGAAAAAAAAGTAAAAACCAGCAATAACAATCAAAATGACTATGAAAAGAGCTGGAAACAGATCAGACATCATGCTTCATCAAAGTAAGTTGTAATGGAGAACGGTGCCTGCCCTTAACTCCCTCTCCACGGTCATAAAAAGATGCCTGCAACTCTGGACCATGGCCAACCAAAGTCTGGGAAGCCACATATGAGTTTCAGAGACACTGAGAAAAGCCACAACTGGGGGAAGAAAAGCAAGGTGGGGTTCAGAGCTACCACGGGAGTGTGGGATCTGTACTTGGGCCCTCTAAACGCCCCCGCCTTTGCACTCTGCATCCCCTTGCTGCGTGTTAGAGTATGGCACTTAGAAAACACAAGCAGAACTGGTTCAGGGCTAAATATTGAGTCAAAAGGCTGTTACACGACTGATATGTTTGGTCTAAAATCCATCACAGATCTTATGTCTATAATCTGGACACTGCTGGAAATGAAGAATTAAATTACGTAGTTAGTAAAACTTTTCATGCTTGGAAAGCACACTGATTTATCTGCTTTGCATTCTCTTTCCCTTATGACTATCATTAAAATCTTACTTTTTGGTGGACTTTGCCTCTTGGAATTCGGTGGCAGTCCCTTTTCACTCTTCCCTGATTCTGCAGAAAGAGAAACCGTGGAAGCAAGTCCTCGAAACACTCGTGCTTCTAGGAGCATAGTCTGACAGAAGAATTAACAAATATGGACATTTTAGAGTAATGCCATTTAGAAGCTGTTACAACACAGAAATACTATGTGTTATTACTAAGCATTCATATGGTATATTTCTCATAGTTATTACAATTTCCCTAACATATGTGTTATGGAAATTTTGGAAAATACAAAAAAAGCTGCAAAAAAACCCCCACAGGACAGTCATTATTAACCATGTAACTCCAAGAAAAGTCAAAACAGAGCTTCTCCCGTGCACACTTTTTGTAGTCCCCAATTACCTATTAAACAAAAAATACTCTATTTTTTTTTTTGTAAAATGTTTTCCTATGCTTAGAACGCTAAGTAGAAGAAATACTATTTGGCTGTTAATAATGATGTAGACGAATAGTAACTGCTTCTGAACTGTTTATATCGTAAGTGGCAAACACCTTATAAACTGATAATTCAGTTAGCATGTATTTACTAACAGCTGCTGTGTGCTGAGCACTTTTCTAGAAGCTGGATAAAGAACAGAGGTGCCTCTCCTATGTATGTGAAGGTAAAAATATGTTTTCTATGTTTATGACTGCAAGTACGTGTCTACGTGTACCCACGAGAGCTGAAACAAACATCTGGAAGCAGGTATTTCAAGGACTAAATCGTGGACTCTCTGAAACAGATAACCCCCAACTATCTATACTCTCCTTTGCAATGAACAGTTAGTGCTTTTGTAATAAGAGCCGTTTAAAATTTTAGTTAAGTGGCCTTACATTTTTTTCTATTTGGAAAAAGCAAGCCCTTCTTCCTTCCTCTTTTCACAGACGGGGTAATGTAAGCTGACTTCCCAGGGGCTGCCCGGTAGGTCACCAGGCGAACCCGGTACCTGAACGTTCCCTCCTCTCCCGGCTAAACAAGAGGTGAAGACGCTGTCCTTAGCGCTTCTGACAGCTGGGAGCCCTCGCACCTGCCCTGTGGCCCCGGCCCCGCGCGCCTGGCGCTCCCCAGGTGGTCGGGGTCCGCCAAGGGGCTGTGGCCGGGCTCAGTGCCCGCTCGCCGGCCCCCCAGGCCCGCCCCACGGCCACTTGCTCCGGCCCGGGGTCCTCTCCTGCACCCGGGAGGCGGGTCAACGGCCGGAGATGGCCCTGGCCCTGCGCGGCCTCCCCCCGCCGGCCCGGCTCCCGTTTACCTTCAGCGCCCCGGACCGTCCTTGCCCCCGCAGAAGCGAGGCCGCCATGACGGTGACACGGGGGAACGCCGGGCGAGGGCCGGACGGGCCGGAGGTCGCACCCGGACTGACGCCACCGCCGCGCGCGCTCCACCGCCGAGCTTCCGCCCCTGGGCCGAGGGCACCAATCACAGGCAGGCACGGGGGCGGGGCGGCGCGGGACAGAGGCAGGGTTCTGCGGGCGCATCCCAGCCGCCTCCGGGCTTCCAGCTCGGCGCCCCAGGCCACGCCCCCAGGTGGAGCTGCCAATCAGCGGCGGGGCGGTTCTCGCCCGAGCAGCCGCGGGGCTGGCTGCGCGCGTGGCGGTCGGAGCGAACTTGCGGTGTCGTTGTCTGCGGAGGGCGGGCGCGACGTTTGCCAGTGTCTCTTCCCCAGGTGCACAGACTTCAGACCGGGCCCTGGCGATCTCTGGCCCTGACCCAAAGTCGTCGGTTTGGTGGCCCCGCGGCACGTTAGGTGCGGGCCTCAGCGCTCGTCCGGCCTCTCTCGGCTGCCACTGGGCGGCGTCAGGTCGGACCCATCCTGCGATGCGCACGGTCAGCAGCGGTCACCGGGGTTCATTGCCCATCCTGCAGGCCACCTCGGGCGGGACCGTGGGCACACCTTGAGCCCATGACAGCCCCAGTGCCGGAGCTAGGCGTGTCAGAAATGCAAGCTTTATTTTACCTGAATGTTTATGGCTTGCAGTGCAAAGACTTCCCCCAAAGTAAGGCGTAATAGCGGAGCAGGCGTAGTTACTGACCCCTCGCTCCGTTATTGATCGTGTCCCCCTACCCCCACTCCTGCCTTGTCCAGTGCTTCCTAGAAGATGAACGTGCCCGCTCCTCTGACTCCACTCGGGCTAAGTGACTTATTCGGGTGGCAAGATAAATGGGCAAAAACAGGTCCCCCCAGACCCTTATCAAAGGGGACTCTGGAGCCCTGTGAATGCAATGCGCCCTGCCACCAGTCATGCAGGGAGGCAGAGGGACAATCTGAGGTCTTAGGATAATAATGAGAAAGTGGTCCTTGGTCTCTGCAGGAGAAGGGAAAACCTTGATAACAGAATTATCCTTTAAATTGTTTTTTATTTATTTGAGAGAGAGAGAACAAGTGGGGGGGGGGAGCAGAAGGAGAGGGAGAAGCAGGCTCCCCGTTGAGCAGGGAGCCAGACACAGGGCTCTGTCCCAGGACCCTGGAATCATGACCTGAGCAGAAGGCAGACACTTAACCCAGTGAGCCACCCAGGTGCCCCAACAGAATTATCCTTTACTCAAACCAAATTCACTCTGTTGTCTCCAGTGGAAAGTTCAGGCTTGCGTTGTGAAGCCTCAAGAATAAAATGTCAGCTTCAAGAATAAAACGAAGAGGCCAACCCCATTAGGACCAGTGTGGTCACCAGCCAGAGTGGCTCGAGGAGAGGGCACATAGGTTGAGGGGAGCCCTGGAGAAGAGACACAGTGAGTGGGGGTAGCCATGCTGGCGGTTTTCAAAGAAGCAACACGACTGTGTGTGAAGGTAACTGTGGCAACAAGGTGGAAGACCGCTGTCTGAGCCTGGAGGGAGCAGGACCTACTAGGAAGCTAATGTACTGAGGTAGGGCAGTCGAGGTGGTCCTACACTACATTAGAACAAAGGGAACAGAAAGAACAGGGCTAAGTGCAAGAGGCAAATATAAGGTTTTGCAGAAAAATCAAAGAGGCAGAGGCCACAGAGAGGGTCCCTGTTTTCATGAGTATTTGTGGAGAGGGGAGTAGATTGTGTTTTCTAATCAGGCGGAAAACTGTAGACTAGATTTCATTTCTCCTGCACCCATCACCTTGCCAAGCAAGTACTAACTCAGCAGTTTTTAGACAAGAACCTCAAAAACTTATGTTGGCCTATATTTCCTTATTAATCACATAAAGGTCTATCTAAATTACTCCAGATCCCCCTTCAGTCTCCTAAGGGCAAAATGCACTTCTTTTCAAGATAACTAGAAAATGGAGCATCACTTGGACCCAACCCTGAACTCAGAGGTGTTTAGGCCAAAAAGGAAAATAAAAATATTCAGGTTCCCGCCGTCTTCACACATGCCCTAACTCTGCATTCTTGTCTAAGACATACATTCCTTTTAAGCCCCAAAGGAAATGTATTATGCCATTTTTCTAAGTAAATTAATACAACTTAATTATGTATTTCAAATGAAGCATGGTTTTTTTCCTTTTTGTTTTTTCACAAAGCTTTCAATAACACTGTGGTTTTAAAATGTTGTTTTAAAGATTTATTTGTTTATTTTAGAGAGAGAGAGCATGAGTGGGAAGGGCAGAGGGAGTGGGAGAGAGATTCTCAAGCCAACTCCGTGCTGAGCACAGAGCTCAAATTGGGGCTCAATCACTGAGATCATGACCTGAGCCAAAACCAAGAGTCAGATGCTTAACTGACTGAGCCACCCAGGTGCCCCTAAATACTGTTTAGGACAGCCATATATAGTATGCTTTACTCTTTTTTTTTTTTAAAGATTTAATTTATTTATTTGACAGAGAGAGACAAAGTGAGAGAGGGAACACAAGCAGGGAGAGCGGGAGAGGGAGAAGCAGGCTTCCCGCTGAGCAGGGAGCCCGATGTGGGGCTTGATCCCAGGACCCTTGGATCATGACCTGAGCCGAAGGCAGATGCTTAACAACTCAGCCACCCATGCGCCCCAGTATGCTTTACTCTTAGTAAGATAATTTTCTTTTTAATAAGAGAGAATAAAAACAGGTAGCTAGCTCAGGGGGTGCCTGGGTGGCACAGTGGGCTAAGCATCCGACTCCTCGTTTCTGCTTGGGTCATGATCTTGCCATCAAGGGATCAAGCCCCTAGTCAGGCTCCATGCTCAACAAGGAGTCTGCTTTGGGTTCCCTCTCCCTCCTCCTCTCCTTCTCCCCCTGCTCATGCGCAGGCTCGCTCTCTCTCTCTCTCTCTCTCGTAAATAAATAAATAAATATATTTAAGAAAAAAACAGCTCGGCAAATAGGAAATTTAAAAGCTTTTTTTTTTTTTGTCAAGATAAAATAAGGAAAGTTAAAGTGAAATTGAATATGTCTAAGCTAGGTTTTTTTATTATTATTATTTTATTTGTTTGTTTTTTAAGTAGGCTTCATGTCCAGCACGGAGCCCAGTGCTGGGCTTGAGCTCACGACTCTGAGATCAAGACCTGAATTGAGATCAAGGGTCACACTTAACTGACTGAGCCACCTAGGCACCCCTAAATTATATATATATATATTTTTAAGATTTATTTGAGAGAGAGAGTGTGCAGGGGGAGGGGTAGAGAGAGGAGGCCGAAGCAGACTCCCTGCTGAGCATGAAGCCTGACTTGGGGTTCTGTTGCACAACTCTGAGACCATGACCTGAGCAGAAATCAAGAGTCAGATGCTCAACTGGCTGAGCCACCCAGGAGCCTCTAAACTATCTTTTAAAACACAGAGAGTGACTTCTGTCTCTGGGAGTATCTGGCCACTAGATATTATGAAAAAATGCTGGGCTACAGAGTATTTCGCAATGCTGGGTAAAATATCACAAGCATAATTTCAAATGATCGGTTCTGTTCGCATGTCCAGATCTGTGCTCTTGTCCATGATTGCTGTGTCATGATGGTCTTGAAGCTCATGAGTTTCTGGGCCCTTATCTGTGGGAATTCCCAAGCCCTGGGGTCAGTGTGCATTCCTCCTGAATTGATTTGGTGTTTGTGTCCACCAGGCTCTTTTCAGTGCTGCCTATCTTGGTCTAGTGTGATCATTTTTTTCATCGTTTGGAATGTGCTGGACCACAGGAAGTGTGTGTTTCCAGGGACTAAAACACAAGCAAGAAACCACAAGAAGTCACATTGCCCTGGGAGCATTTGCTGATCTCAGTAAGTTAAAGTCTTGGTTTAACTGATGTCAAGACGACTTTGGAGCCATGAGCACTGGGAGTGGGCTGGGAAGCACAGGAGGAAGCCCTTGTAGAGCTGCCCCTCAGTGGCAGGGTGAACATGGGCAAAGCCACCTGCTTGCAAAAAATGTCACAGGAAATGTGTCTATCTCAGCCTGGGCACTGGGTGGGGGAAAAAATGTCTCAAGGCCTACCCTCTCTTGAATTTGGGGTTAACATACACACATACTTCCCATGGCGCAGGACATTCCAATCTATATTAAAATTGAAAACTGTGTTTAGCAAAAGGCAGTATAGAAAGTAGAAAGACAAGCCACAAACTGGGAAATCATTTAACTCATAATGAATCGGTATCCAGAACATAAAGTTTCCTACTCACTAACAACGATGAACCACCCAGAAGAGGTTAGTGACTACCTCTGGAGGGGGTGGAGGGACGGATGAGGTCCATATGGAAGGGAGAGCCTTGGGACTTGTCTTCTTTTAGTAATGTTTGTTTGTTTGTTTCTTACGGTGTGCTATGGGCACAGGAATGTCTGCTCTTGTGTATTTTTGATATGTATGAAATATTTCATAATGCATTTTAATGAGTAAAAAAGCCATGAGTGGTTTATTTGGTGCCCCAAAGTTATATGGTAGTTTTAGAGGCCCACTTTTTGATGGAAAAGATACAGATTCCAATACTACTAGAAAGTCTATCTTCCCGTATACTGAAATGATGAAAAGGTTTGTCTGGCAAGATCCTGTGTATATGAACCTACATGTATAACCCAGCTCTATGCCTTCATCAAGTGGGCCATTACTGGAGCCCAGCCTACATTCTAATGGCCAAACATCACTACCAAGTACGGGTGAAGAGCTGAGTGCTGGCATGGAGTGAGAACTTAGTTGTTAGAATAGCACTGTCCTCAAAATACAAATGTATGTTGTATTAGTTTGTTAGAGCTACAATAACAAAGGACCACAGCCTGGCTGGCTTAAGACAACGGAAAGGTGTTGTCTCACGGTTCTGGAGGATATAGTCCTAAATGAGGGTGGCAGCAGGAAGAGCATCCCCTGGGACCCTGGGTAGAATCCTCCCCTGCCTCTCCCGAGCTTCTGGGGCTGGCCACCCATCCCTGGCATTCCCTCCTTTAGAGCTGCGTTGCTCCGATCTCTGCCTGTCTTCATATGGCTTCTCTTTGTGTGTCTTTCTTCTGTGCATGTCTGTCTCTGTCTCAAT